TTCTTGAAGAAGCAAGATAGTAGAGAAGTCAGTTCTTGCTTGAGTTTAACTTCATGGCTGTGGCTCTTCAGTACTTTTTTTTTTTAACCGTGGTTTCCGGGCATCGCTTTGCGAACCCGACTAGCTGTACCCACCAGGACCCGCTGTTTCAATGTGTGCACCGCGGTTAGTTCCACGGGGCCCTGGAGACGCGGCCGGTTTGTAATGCCTCCCGTGGCCCTGCGGGGGCTCGAACTGGCGACCTGAAGGACTTTGTCCTCAGGCCTTTACCAGTTGAGCTACCCCTCAGGGTTGGCTCTTCAGTACTCATTTGCACTTTCTTTACTCAAGTTGATTCTTCCTATCTGTCTTTAGTTCGGAGTTATTTGATCCATGGATTGGAACAGGTCAGGTTAGACCTTAGATTTGTATTCTTATGTTCTTAGGGTCATAAAAGTACCTAGGCAGCCTGTTTAACTGACTAGGATCTTATGTCAGAATATACACTCTTATCTAAGGTATGCCTACCTTGAGAATGATTGGAGGCACCATATTATATAGTTTGCATATTTGCCTTGATCATTTCTATGATTTGTTGCATGGCTTCTCTCGATATTAAACAACTCTCCTATGTCAGCCGTTTTAATCTTTTCTCAGCATAGATACTGTTGGTGCAATTTAAGCATTACATGTTTATTAATTGAGATTATAAATGGCTTCTTTTTGATAAACTTTGCATATTAATCGGCCACTATTCCTCTTCTTCGCAGTGAACTAAATGATACAGTTATTGAAGCTCAACAGAGGATAAGAAAAGTTCCACCCCGGCTTAACATCAGTGATGCAATTGACCGCTATTTGTTGTCCAATAATCGTCTACTAATATTGGTACCACTCATCCCTCTTTCAAATGTGATCTGCTGAAATTATTTATCCAAAAGCTACAGTTAACTATTTCCCCTAATGATTCCTGTGATTGATAATAATCGTTTGATTCTGGAAGAGTTCATATATAGCAGAAAGGCTACCTAGATGGCTTTAGACGATGAAATCAAGTTAGTGGCAAAAGCCTATGCTAATTTGGATAGCATACCAACTGTTTTTGGATTTGACATGTTCACTCGAGTCCAAGTCATGTTGGTGATGCTTTGGTGTGCATATTATGGGTGAAGGGGGTGGCTAGTATGCTGCTAATGATTTTGGCTGTAGAAGTAAAGAATTAGCAATAGAAGAGTGAAGGGATCTAGGATGCTACCATGATATCGGGCCTTGGTGATTCTGGGAGGGAAACATCTCCAGTTAGTGGTAGACTTTGTGGGAAGGGGTTATACGTGTGAAGAAGAATAGATGCAGCCTCCCCTTCCCCGTACTTTGCCTTTGTGAGGACTCTTTGGATTTCTCTGTCGAATGCCTAAATTTCATGAGATATTATATATTTTTAAGTTTAATTTTCTGTTCTTTTATACTGATATGCAGCAACTAGCTATGTTAATGACAATTTCTTGACTTGATTACGGTGGTCCTCAAAAACAGGGTTTCAATTCTGCGCTGACAGAATCGGTGGATACCCCTGGAAGAAGAGGTGGAGATCAAATTAGAGAGATGGAACTGAAATTGCATCCCGAACTGAAAGAACCATTGACCGCAATCTGCAACGACCCAAAGACAACAGTTGTTGTCCTCAGTGGAAGTGACAGAAATGTCTTAGATGATGTACTGCATTACAACTAGCAAAATTTCAATTCCTTCAACTATAGCTACGTTTCCCCATGCCAATTTTGTACCTTTGCAGAACTTCAGTGAGTACAACATGTGGTTAGCAGCAGAAAATGGAATGTTTTTGCGATCTACAAATGGTGTATGGATGACAACGATGCCAGAGCATCTCAATATGGATTGGGTTGATAGTGTAAAGGTATGAACATGTGTAGCTAGGTTCTGAAAGTGGATTTTTCAGCTCTAACTTTTCTGGTTCTTTTGACTATATCCAGCACGTCTTCGAGTACTTCACTGAAAGGACACCGAGATCTCACTTTGAACAACGTGAAACTTCACTTGTTTGGAATTACAAGTATGCAGGTAATCTTAGTTTCGTCATCTATTTTCATTTCAAGAAAATTCAGTCATGTGGTTCTTGTTTTTAGATATTCAAGGTTTATCTTACCTTCGGCGTGTCAATTCTCTTTCCTCTTTTTAACTTATAATTTTCATTTGTGGGGTACTTCCATGTCCTTTTAGATGTTGAATTTGGAAGATTGCAAGCTAGAGACATGCTGCAGCATCTCTGGACAGGCCCAATATCAAATGCATCTGTTGACGTTGTACAAGGACTCCGCTCCGTTGAGGTCCGAGCAGTTGGTGTTACAAAGGTGACCACATTGTTTCTTATGATAATATGTGACCAGATAGTTGCTCCATGAATTTTGTTTCAAGCGCTTGATTAGTTCACGAGACAATTCTTTTTCCCAATTCTCATACACCCATATATACACATGCAGGGAGCAGCAATTGATCGTATACTGGGGGAGATAGTACATAGTAAAGCCATTGCAACACCAATTGATTACGTCTTATGCATTGGGCATTTCTTGGGGAAGGTAAATTCCTTAAAGCTATCAAAATATCCTTTCTTCAAGTTAATACTACTATTGCTGTGAACTTCAAATTTTATAACCCAAAGCTTCCGTCTGTTAAACTAGCTCCAGATTTTGATTAAGTGTGGTCCAACTATTATTTAAAAAAAAATGAACTAAATGCTCCCAACAGAATTAACTTAAGAAAATCAAAGTAGGATAGGTTGATCATTTGCAACTGTATACTTGTTTTCCTGTGTCCATCTTGAATTTTGTTGTTATATGCCCATTTTGTTGCTACACTATGTCCATCTGTATAAATATATTTAAATTAATGAGGCTAAACTAGATGGATCATGTTGCCAAATCCTTTGAACTTATATGCTTTAAGAGTCAAACTTCAAACTACGCCAGAGGTTTTTATGAAATACAGATGCCACTATTCTGATTTCTGTCTGGTGTCTTTGTAATGTAGGATGAGGATGTATATACCTTTTTCGAGCCAGAGCTTCCTTCTGATTGCATTGGTATTCCAAGGGGTAAGGTGTCTGATGCACTGAAGGTACCAGGGGAAAGGCGATCGGCGCCAAAAGCTCCGTCTAGCCGAACTAGCTCAAAATCATCTCAGAACAGGAATAGGCCTGTATCGAACTCGGAGAAGAAAACTTCCAATGGTGGTGGACGACGGACCTCACCTGAAAATGTGTCATGGAATGTGCTGGATCTGAAGAAGGAGAATTACTTCTCTTGTGCAGTTGGCAGGACTCGTACAAATGCTCGGTATTTGCTCAGTACGCCTGACGACGTTGTTGCTTTTCTAAAGGAATTAGCTGAAGCATCTATCTCAAATGCGCCATTATGAAAAGGATAAATGATGCTGGTTGCATCAAGTGATGAAGGATCAGTACCAAGTTTTTGATTGAGGGAGATTTGTATGGAGGATATTGAGCAACGTTTATACCTGATTTGCGTTGGATATATAGATGTCTGGATTCAAAATTCTACAAAGTAAAGAAATAACCTTTCTGCTAGCTAATAATAGACTCCCTCTGTCTCTCTTCCGACCCGTAGATGTTTTTGCCCGTTGGATTATCACTTAGAACTTTAACATACATATTGAGCAGTTCAAGATCACAAGCACTTGTCAACAACTCACAACCATCATTTATGGAGTCACTCATTAAAATAAACTTCAAAGGAGAATTTTTTTGTTGGTCATTGTTTTGTTTTCTAATGGTTAATTTCAGTCTTCTAAATGGGAATTCTTAGAAAGGCAGAGATATATTGGAATAATGATAAAAATAGTTAAAGGCAAATCTTATCCCTTGCTTATGGTGTAATAAAAGAGCAGTTGAGCTCACGTTGACTCTCTTAAGGGTTGCTTGAATGGAGAGATCTGGTTTCATGTTTCTAATTCACAAGATAAAATCATTGCACCTATTAGGTTTACATATATGAAAATTTGAACTACTTAAATCTTAAATCTTAGTGCTTCTATCCTAATTAGTGGTGGCAAAATGACTAAAAGAAAACAATTATCCACCCATATTATATATTAAAAAATAGTTTGGATAATGAATTATTTAAAAACGGGTCAAATATGGATAAAAACCATGTTATTCACTTAGAAAATGGATAACCAATAGATAACTAATGGGTTTAACTTTTACCTTTGTAAAGCCTCAAATTGATCATATTCAAGAAGCCATGAGTAATATGGATATCCATATTATCAGCCGGTTAACCTGTTTTTTATCCGTATTAAATATGAGTCGGGCCGGATAATTTATCTATTTTTTGTATTACCCGTTTTCAACCAGCCCATATCCAACCCAACCCCTTCATTTACCACCCCTAATCCTAATAGACACAAATGCTTGAAAGTGGGATTTCCAAAATGTGAACATTTTAGGGCCTATTATTCTTCCAAAAAAAATTAAAAATCAATGTCCGATTCAATCCAAAGGAACTGATGCATTTTGCAATAGTAGTTCAAATTCACCATTCTTTCTGGAATGGAGGGCGTATTTGATAAGTCATTAAAGTAATATATTACTCCCTCCGGTCCAAAATAAGTGATTTTTTGGATGTTTTCACACAGATTAAGAAATCCACCTTTTAGCATTAATTAGCAATTGAATTGACCATACTAACCTTTACTATCTCACATAAACACTCCTAACACATATTCCAACACAATTTACTCCAAGGACAATGTAGAAAAAAATAATTAATACATTCTTGAAATCCGGAAAAATCACTTATTTTGGACCACAAGAAAAAGGCCAAAAAATCATTTATTTTGGACCGGAGGGAGTATTAAGACGTAAATTACTAAAACTAAATTAAAATAATCCATGCTAAATACAGTTATTCTGCCTTTAGAATACTAGCAAAATACAAAGCAACTTTCCACTCAATGTGGAAGAGAAAAACAACACAATGAGATGGAGCAAGAAACAATTCATAATTCCATATATATTAGATTCAGTAAATAAACCCTTAGCACACAGGGTTGATAACAGATACATGGGGAACTCCTATCCAAAGCTTCCTCATAGCACATTATTAAACATTATAAACTCATAGATAACTAACAGGAACAACCAAGCATAGGAATTCTAATCACCGGCAAGAATCTAAACAATAGAAAATTTTGGCTACTAATGACGAATAATGACTAAACTAGGATACAAAGTCAAGTAGCATATTGATCCAAACCAGAAGTCTGATCTCAGTAACCTAAGGCTTATTATGCAGCAGTTTTTCTATTTGGTTCAAACACATATTTGACCAATGATTCCTTGATTGGAAGCAACTCAGGGAACTCCTTTTTCAACTTTGAAGCATCCATCTCATTGTTACTGCGAGCTGCAACAATTACCTTAGCCTGTTCTTCCAATGTGAAATTGGCCCATGTAAAGTCTGGGTTTATATATTTCTTGTACATCTCCAAAATCTCATTATGGCTCACAACACCGGGGTTTGTGAAATTCCATATGCCCTTGAGATTACGTTTTGCCATCTCAATTGAAATTGGAAGAAGCTCATCCAAAATTGTCATGCTGTTGGGAATATTGACCACCTTATTGTAGCGACTAATCTTGGTAATGAAATTCCGGGGGTTGCTGAGGTCTGAAGATATTGGCATCCGGACTCTGAGGGTGCAAACATTCTCGTATTCTTTCAGCAACTCTTCAACCTGGTGAAAGAAACAAACAAACAGTATCAATATTTGTAAAAGAATACCCACATGCAAACAGAGTCTTAAGGAGTACCAACCATAGCCTTGGTCTTTGAATAGAAAGAACCAAAGAAATTGGGCGTGTCTTCTTCTTTGAATCCAATACCAGAACCTTCTGGGTGTGCAGCATCATATTCAAATATGCAACCAGTTGCAAAATTCATCATCAATAAACCATGCTCTTTACAAACATCAGCCAAGTTTAGAGTTCCAGCAACATTTGTACAAATTGTTTCAGTTTTATGACTCTCACACCAATCAACGTTAGGTCTACCGGTGACACCAGCAGCATTGAATACATGTGTGGGCTTGACAGCGTGAATGTCCGCCAAAAGTTGTGAGCGATCCTGCAGACGTCCCCTTCCATACTCATAAGGAATTCCCTGTTTCTCACAAAGCTTGCCTAGCAGACCACCAATCCAACCAGTCCTACCATAAATCAAAAACTTATAAGGTGATTTATTAGGGGGGTTGCCGATCTTGGAAGCTGGAACTACCATCCGGGTCTGGTTGGGGTTTCCAGAGCACTCAGATGATCCCGAATCATCTTTTTCAGCTCCTCTCTCTACCCCACCAGGCATCATCAGCATTCTAGGATGGGGAAGCAATGCTCCAGAGACATCTCCCCACCAATCAGGATTACTGATATACCAGTCCATGGTTTTTTTCAGACCCTCTTCCCACGTGGTCCTCTCTGACCAACCCAAGTTCTTCAACTTCTGATCATCTAGAAAATACCTCTGGTCATTGAAGGGCCTGTTCTCCACAAACTGAATGCTTGCGTCTGGATCCTTGTTAAAAAGCTTGCATAGATCTTTGGCAACATCAATCACCCTCCTCTCTTTCTTAGTTCCAATGTTATAAACATGACCAACCTCTCCTCGGTGAAGAACGACCTCGAAAGCCTCAGCAACATCCTCACAGTACAAATAACTTCTGACATTTGAACCATCTCCGTGAATAGGAAGAGGCTTCCCCCTCATGGCTAGATTTATAAACTTTGGGATTAACTTCTCAGGAAATTGATTGGGACCATACACATTATTCCCTCTAGTGGTTATAACAGGCAACCCGTATGATCTCCCATATGCCATAACAAGCATTTCAGCCCCAGCTTTAGTGGCTGAATATGGGTTCGTAGGAAGGAGTTGTGAGGCTTCATGGTTTCCCACAACGGCATCCTCATCAGTCTCCCCGTAAACCTCATCCGTGCTGACATGGATAAACCTTCTGATCTGACCAGTAACTTTGCAAGCCTCTAATAGCACGTGTGTACCATAAATGTTGTTCTTGGTGAACTCAAAGCTATTACCAAAGGAGTTGTCAACATGGGTCTGAGCAGCAAAGTGCATTATAGTGTCAATGGACTCAGTGATGAGAAGGTAGTTAACAAGATCAGCACTGCCAATGTCTCCCTTAACAAACTTGAAATTAGGGGAGGATCGAGATGGATTAAGGTTTTTCAGGTTGGAACAATAATCAAGCTTGTCAAGCACAACGATTTTGTAGTCGGGGTAACTCCGAACAAGGCGGTTGGCAACATGAGATGCAATAAACCCTGCAGCCCCAGTAATGAGTATATTCTTAGGAGTGTAAGTCGACATCTTGATGCAGGTTCTTCAGCTAACGAATTTCAAATCAATATTCTCAGTTTAATAGCAACTCAAATCCTGCAAGAAACAAACTAATTTCATCCATTAACAACTGTCAAACCTAAATCTTAAAAGAATGCGTAAAGGGAAAAAGGACATAAAAATGAATTCTTTATATAGATTAATAACCAGGTAACAACAGAGAATGTTTGAGAACTAATAAGCAACTATACACGACAAAAATATTAACCAAAAACAAGTCCCAGAACATAAAAAAAAGTTCGACAACCCGGATTCTGAAAAGGTACCCAATGCCATAAATCTGACTATGCGGGGGGTTGTAGTAGGTAAAAGCAAGATAAAAAATGCGAGTGAATATACATGAATTAATAAATAATTTCCCTGGATCAGCAATAAAATATAACCACAATATTATAAAAACCAGTAAAAATTATGAATCAACCAATTAATTATGTCACAAATCACAAACTAATGGAGATTTAGAAAAACCAGCACAAAATTGAAATTGAAAAAAAAAAAACACAGATCATCAGATCCAACATAGTATTCTGCAAAGCACAACATTCTCATTGCTCATCAGCATTTCAAATGTGTGCTCCACAATATGATGCATGCTTGCTTATCCATAATAGATCTGGGATTATAAGTTTGCAATGGCAATAAATTGGAAACAAAGCATATTTGCATTCAAAACCCAGATCTAGCCCAAAATCATGAATTGCAAACAAGAATTAAAATATAAGAATAGAGTAATAACTGTATGTGCTTACAGATTTTCCAGAACCGAATAAAGGATCCAACCCCCGAACTACAAGAAAAGGGAGACGAGAGAAACGGAAGAGACTTTTTAGAGAGAGAAAGAGAAAAGCGTGTGAAGATGAGAGTCAAGTATCGTATCTGTATCGTCTCCCTTTGTGTACATGTATTTATACACGCACTACCCCTACAAAATTTTCATGCAAATCTAATGTTCTTCTCTTCCGTATTTATTACTGCACCAAAAATAAATTAAATATGAAAAGGGAAACAGAGAGAGTGTTATAGCGGGAGGGTGGAGAGGGAATTGAAATTACATTGGTGCCCCTGGAACGGTGGTTGAATTACACCACGCGGATTTTGTGGGCCTCATTAATAGGGAACGGTAGCTGTTAAAGCCGTTAATTATGTTATTAGTGGAGATGATGAAAAATAAAAATAAAATAATTAATGAGAATAAGAATGAAAAATAAATTTACTGGAATTTGGGGGACAGTGGAATGTGCGAATGGAATATGACGACACGTGATTGGATGATTAGCTAGTTAAAGTGGCAATTTCTGATTGATTTTACATGTTAATGATTGATTATTTTAGTGCACATTAGATATTAACTGTCATAATTGTACTACTCTCGCTGGGAATTTTCATATTCCATAGTTGTACAATCATGATATAGCTGTTTCCATTTCTGTCATGATGTGTATCTTTAATTGAAGCGTGAAATGAATTAAATTATTGACCGCAAACAAAAGTGGTAGTCGACTAGGAAATAAAAATATTCCAACTCAATGTTATACCAACTAAACTAGGAGTAATAAATTTACACTCCGGAAATACACTTATTATTTAATCAGAATTATACATTTACCTAAGTATGTTATTTCACTGATTAATTGATCTAGTTTGATGTAAATCTGGACATGGGTAAGTCTTTTTCCAATAGCAACAACCATCACCAGTTGCACCCAAAAGTGTGGCTTACTTACTAGTCAATCAAGCAAATTGAGAACCACAAAATTTTATGTTCATATTTCAGCCAACATCTAGGTAATTTCTTCTTGTCTATTCAAGTGTTGGTGTACGAAACTAATCGGTACTTTTATTGTTAAGAGATAATAGGTATTTTGTAAAATTAATTGAGGTGCGTGCAAGTTAACTATAACACCATGATAATAGAAAAATTCATCATCGGTAAACTGCACCAATAGTTGGCTCTGGCGTAATATAAAGCATTGCTTCCACATATCACCTTTTTATTTGGCTTTATTTCTGGAATTGTGTGTAAAAACTTTAAATAAAGTATCGTTAGCTTGTAAATCTGTAAAAACTTTAAGTAAAGTACCACGTTAGCTTGTAAATCAATCACACTGCAATGTGATACTATACTATAATTCCAATAATACCTTTGACTCAATTAGTTTCTCTATCACACGGTTACAATAAGTGTTTAAAGATAGTGCATTTTCCTTAACATATATACTTATATAATACTTCCTCCTCAAATTATCTGTAATATTTCTCTTTCCTCCTTCTCAAATTATCTGTCATATTTCTCTTTTACATGACCCTTAAGAAACATTAATTAGAAGGGTTTTTTTATTACTATTTTAACCTTATTTATGTCTTAAGATATAATCTATCTTCATTAAATAATTATTCTATTTATGTACCATCTCCATCTTATACAGTACAAGGGGAAGTGCCATGGTGTATGCTATTTGCTGATGACATAGTTCTGATTGACGAGATGTGGGGCGGAGTTAACGCTAGATTGGAAGTTTGGAGACAGACGCTGCTGAGTGCTTGGAGTGCAAGTTCAGCGATGGGATGCATGAAGAAGAAGTGAAAGTGAAAAATTGGTACTCAAGTCATCCCCAAAAAATATAGTTTTAAGTATCTTGTGTCTATTATTCAAGGCAACAGAGAGATTGACGAGGATGTTACTCATCAAATTGGAGCGGGGTGGATGAAATGGGGGCTCGCCTCGGGGGGGTTTTTTGTGATAAGAATGTGCCACCTAGACTTAAGGGCAAGTCCTACAGAGGGGTGGTTAGACTGACTATATTGTATCGGGCTGAGTGCTGGCCCGTCAAGAAGTCCCATCTCCAGAAGATGAAAGTAGCTGAAATGAGGATGTTGAGATGGATGTGTGGGCATACCAGGAAGGACAGGATTAGGAATGAAGTTATTAGGGACAAGGTAGGAGTGGCATCTGTGGAGGACAAGTTGCGGGAATCGAGGTTGAGATGGTTCGGGCATGTGAAGAGGAGAGGCATAGGTGCTCCGGTTAGGAGGTGTGAGGGGTTGTCCATGGTGGGTCTGATGAAGGGAAACTGTAGGCCTAAGAAGTATTGAGGAGAGGTAATTAGGCATGACATGTCGTTGCTTCATCTTACCAAGGATATAACCTACGATAGGAAGGTGTGGAGATCGAGGATTAGGGTTGTAGGTTGACTAATAGTAGTGTGTTCCTCCTAGACTTACCAGTAGTACTAGGATTATTTTTGTATCATCTTATCATGGTTCTTTATTATTACATGGTGTGTCATTCGCGCTTATTACCATATTACATTGTTGTTACCATTGTTTGTTACTTGGTTGTTTTATTTTATCTCCATTGTTCCCTAAGCCGATGGTCTACCGAAAACAGCCTCTCTATCTTTATAAGGTAGAGGTAAGGTCTGCGTACACACTACCATCCCCAGACCCCATTTATGGGATCACACTGGGTTTATTGTTGTTATTGTTGTTGTATGTAACATCTCCATCTTCAAGAACAATTACTACTAAGGGTAAAATGAGAAAAAAATAATTGATTTTGTCTTAAACTTCTAAAATGACAAATAACTTGCGACAACTATTTTTGGAAGTTACGACAGATAATTTTAGACGGAAGGGATAGACACTATAAAAAAACTTGCTACGAACTTCGTCGCTAATCTGGCATTAAATCGTCATTAATTCGTCTCTAAATAGGATTATCGACAAATTTTTCCGTTCAACTACGGAATTTGTCTGTGAATAATTTTTGTTTCTTAGTAGTGGGATAACAAGAACAAAGACAACAAATTTATTTATTTCTATGAGACTCGACTAAAGTAACAAAGTTGAGAAGTGATGTTTTATACTTCAATACCACACAAGAGGGGGGGGGGGTGATTTGTGTGGTGTCCAATTTTTCGCGTGCACAGATTATAGAAGGACCTGGTTCTTCTATGTGTTCCTTATACTACTTTTGCGTAATAATAAATGCAGAAAGTTGTCACACCCCTTTTTAACCAACTTCACTAACCCTCTTAAATAGATAAAAAAGATTGAGTAAAGCTTGAAATGGGTTTTCCAATTAGAACGTGACAAAAATTGTGTTCAAAAGGAAATTACTCAGAGTCGCCACCTGACATTGATTTCGGTGTGCCAGGTCACCATTTTTTTTTAAATGATTTTTCCTTTAAAACACTTTTGGACTCCAAAACTAAGTCTGCACCAGAGATTCGGGTAAGGGGGTTCATTTGACTCGGGAAGAAGGTGTTAGGCACTCCCCAAGTCTCGTGAAAGTCACGGTTGCGTACTTGATCTAGTTGGCTTTTAGAATATTCGAATTGAGATGAAACGCAAACACAGAAAAGAAAAACAAACACACAATAGGTTCGAGGTCGTTCCCACCTATTAAAAGGAAAATAAAACTAAAACACAAATACTACGAATTTCACTTTAGGCCTCCAAATACAAGTACTTCGGGGCATTCCCCGGAATAAAATATATACAAGTCCTTCGGGGCATTCCCCGGATAAACTTAACTAAGGGAACGACCTCTCGCCTCGCAATTAACAGAAGTCCTAAAGCTTGCCTACCCAAAGTGTGGTCGGCCTAGAACATGCTCCTAACGATTAAGTAAGAAAAAACATAAATAAAACTAAAACCAAATAAGTAGATATTCATTTCATGTTCATTTTCCTTTTAATTTCCCAATCCCACAATCCAACAGTCAACTTTTCTCCTAATTTTTTCTCCCATTAGTATGCGCCCCTGATGCCGAGTATCAACCCACAGATAGATTCAATACACGAAATGGCCATCAAGCAACAACACAATTGAAACTAGCTAATTAAATAATACAAGGCTCCAACAGTGAGCAAATAAAGCAATAAGGCACAAAATATGGTATTAGCCCTTCAACTCAACTCAAGACAATTCAAGGGGAGTGAAAAGCTCGAGACATCTAAAGGAAAATATTGACAACTCAATCTAACAAGATGTGAAAAATCTGACTGAGTTTATAAATGCATTAAGATAACAAACTAGCTTCATTCATATACTGGAGAGAGTTTTTTAGGCCACCAAGATTGAAATCACTAAACCCCTCTCCCAAAAATATTACTCTTGTGAAGAAACAGTCTTGCACCTCATAAGTCAAAACATCCTCAAGCTAATTGAGTTCTCAGGAAGATGATAACATGTTTGAAATAAGTTTGGTAATACTAGATCAAACAATTACTTGAATAGCTTATTCAAATATTTTCCAAATTGATAAAGATAAATGTCCACTCCGAAACCAGTAACTTCCTCTTCTGAAAATCAAGTTTTAAGGACAGACTAAGGAAATATTATAATATATAAGAAAACTAGTATTAAAACAAATCTTATATCCTAAAACAAAATTCCTACATTGTTCAAATAATACTTAAAATAACACAATGAACTTTAATGAACATATTTAGAAATAGAGCAACATGAACTAGTTTCAACAAATTTCAGACAAGAAACCAACACCAATTGAGTCAAGAGCTAATACCATGCTTCACATCGTAGAATATTTCAGACATTTAAGCATGAAAATGAAACAGATCACAAGTAGCGGAGGGAGATCAAATCTAACTAAAATCAAACACGACAGGGGAGACAGAAATGAACCTGGATGTTCAGAATTTCAATTAATTCCAGAAGCAAGAACCAGAAAATTCAGCGACAAAGAACTGAAGTGAAACGCAAACAAGAACAGGAACTTCGACCGGGAACCCGAACGACAAACGAACTTCAACTTCGACGAACTAAGCTCAAAATCTCGAAGAAACCACAGAGATCAGAAAATTTGTCCGAGAATTTCCCCAATCTCCTATCTCGAAAATGCTCCTCACTTATATATATATATATATATATATTATATATATATATATATATATATATACTTTTTATGAAACGAACTAAAATCTAAACTGAGATTCA